AAAAAAAAAAAAAAAAAATAGGAAAAAGAAAAATAGGTCAAATTTTTCAATGAATATTAAGGATCCTCTTTTTATACATTTTATTGAAATAATTATTAATTTAACAAGTAATGCTGAGGGAGCAGCTGTAATGTAGTTGTCCCCAGGTAAAGAAAACGAGGCTTTGATAAAGTGATAAAATCTACTTATCAATTAAGATAAACAAAGGAGATCTAGTAATGACAAAATGAGTCTCTTTTAAAATAAACAGGCAGGAAATGTTCATATGAAAGAATGAACTATACATGTAAAAGGAGCACCTGGATAAAAGCAACAACAGGTCTTCTACAGTTTTTTGATGAATAGTCATCAGGAGTGACTTTTCTTGAAAAAATATAGATAACTATATAGAACATATGTAACTACGTATTATATGTAAAAGCATTCTAGGTACCTTGTTAAGACATGATCTCCTTCAGTGGTTGCAAATTGTGAATGCATACACAATAAAAAAAAAGTTCCAGCGAGCATGATAATTCAATAGTATACCCACATTCCTGTATCCACAGCATATTAATCACCCTGAAGATTATCCAAGGACACCTTCAGGCTTTCCAAATTAGGCTCAGGTGAGAGAGATGCTGGAATGGGACTTAACAAAGATGCATGTGTGAACATGTGATAAATTGTTTCTCTGCCTAAATACTGAAGTCAAATACTATCATATTTTCTTAATTGGAGCTGTGATCTCATAAATTTGTGCAGGTGATATGAGCTAACTATGGAGACACCAGAGAAGTTACATTGAAAATAGTCATATTTAATCTATAAATTTTTTTTTTTTTAAATGAGCCATAGAGTCTACCAAGACAAAAGTTTACAAGAGGTTGATAGCACTATCCAATAATGTTAATGTAAGGGAAAACTGTAATGGAAAAGAATGAGCTCACCATTAGTAATCAAGGAACAATGGGCTCTATTCTGGCTCGATCAATCATTAGATTTAATTGGCTCTGGGTAAATTATCAAAAAGTCTGAATTTCAAATTCCTTTTTATTAAAAATATCAAAGGTTAAAGTATTAAAATCAAGAAAATATTAAGTAAAATTTGTAAAAGATATTTGATGCTAAGTATTACAAAATGCATTGACTAGAATATGGACATATCTCATACTCTCCTTCGAATTCATAGGCCTTGGCATGTGCTGTACTCTCTTGCCCCTGACCCTATGTCCATAATCCCTAAGTGAGCAACCTTCTCTCAACCTTCAGATCCGTACTCAAAGAATACTCACTTGCAAATGCCTTGCATGATACATTTACAGTCCCAGCTCCAGTTTAGATATTTTTGCTAGAGACTCCCACACTTATCCTTGAAAAGACTTAAACAATTTATAATTATTTTCATTTGTGTCAATATTGATTGATGCTTGATGTCCTCCTCAATGGAGCTGCTTTACCTCTAGATTTTCATAGGACTGAAGTCTCTATTTTTTTAAGCTTTCAGCTCAATTGTTGCTTTCTCAGAGTAGCCTTCCAGACAGCTTTAACGAAAATACCAATTTCCAACATTTTGTGTCTTTTTTTTCCTTCATAGCACATACCATGACTTGATACTATGTTTTCAATACCTGTCTATATAGCCTGCCTAGCATACCTCAATATGATGCTCCATGTGGGCAGGAACATTGTATTACATTTACAATTGTATCTCTAATATCTACAATCTAGAACAGTGCTTAGAATATAAGAGAAACTCTATACATTTTAAATGAATGTAATATATTTTTTACACTTGTATTTTTCCAGTATTCACTACAAATAAGTACTGATAGGTCATAATCTCTAACATTCTTCTAGTAACTTTAGTATCTAAGAATATTAGTGAGGACCGTTTGGTAGTTCTAATTTTCTGAGATTCCATAACAGACATGCATCAGTGAAAATTCACTATTGGGTTTTGATGCCAGTAAAATTTGTAGGTCTACATAGAAATAGAAGCTTTGACCTTGACTTGATTGCCACAATGCTTTGAAGAAAAGTAGGTATCTGAAGAACTGTTTTAAACAGGAAGAACTAGATCTAAAGTTAAAATATAAACTAGGTGATGACAATGTGGAATAAAGTATTTAATATATTTAGTCCACTTAGGGCATTATAAAATAGATTTCTTTCAATGGCTAACACTTATTAGAAACTTCAAAAACTTTACAAACTACAATGTTAATTTTACCTTCACACATTCTCAGAAATAATAATGATATTTTTATAGTGATCTGACATCAAAAACACTATGGTTTAAAAATCAATAAAAGTATCTATGGAGTTGCTTTTGTTCTAATAAAGCCATGCAATTTTGTGAAATGAAAACCTTACCTCTCACAATAAGTTGAGCAAAATTGGACACACCAGAACCTCGTTCTGACTGAGTTACACAGCGATACAAATCCTGGTCAGTTTTTGTCACTTCTTGCAATCTGAAGGAAGCGGCAAATCTTCTGTGATTGATGTTCTTAGTCTGGGCTACTGGTATATCTTCTCCATTTCGTCTCTGCAAACAGAAACAATCTTTAAAAACAGGATCTTAACCTTTCCATAAATCTATAAGGCATCTTAGCAAGCAATATCAGTGATAAATTATTCTTGTTGCAAAAGACCTACACATTTTTTCCATTGTCATTCAATCAGGAAAAGGATGTAAGTAAATACTGGTATCCTCTAAAGCAGTGGTCCCCAAAGTTTTTGGCACCAAGGACCAGTTTCTTGGAAGACAGCTTTTCTATGGAACAGTGGGGGAATGATTTTAGGATGAAACCATTCCACATCAAATCATCAGGCATTAGTTAGATTATCATAAGGCACTCACAACCTAGATCCCTTGCATTCACTGTTCACAGTAGGATTTGCTCTCCTATGAGAATCTAATGCCACGGCTGATCTGACAGGAGGCAGAGTTCAGGTGCCAATGCTTGCTCACCTGCTGCTCACCTCCTGCTGTGTGGCCCTGTTCCTAACAGGCCACAGACCAGTACCAGTTTGCAGCCCGGGGGTTGGGGACCCCTGCTCTAAAAGGTATACATTTGACACTATGGTAGTAACCTCAGTTCTCAATAAAATCATTATTACATCAGAGTAAATGAATTAATAAGAGAATTAATGGGTCCATGACAAATGATTCATTGCCCCCATGCTCTCAGAGTAATATATAGAAGCTTCTTTTAGCCCTTACCCTATACTACTTGTGCTGTAGCATGTTTGTACCCATCAGAAGAGTAGGACCATTGCCTGTGTATCTCTGTATTCCAAATGCATAGCATGTACTTGCCACAGAATGATAATATAGTAATGATGAATAATTTAAAGTCAACCCAAAATCTGTACCCTTTGCAAATGACTCTCTCTTTGGCATTAATGACAGCCAATTTATACATTTTAGAGAAGTAGTCAAAAGAGCCTAAACATTAAAAGCATACCTGTCAAATTTCAAAATGAAATACTGGAAACCATATTTATGATATCAGCATATCCCAGACAAGAGTAATAAGCATAAACTAACAGGAAATGACTGAAAAAATTCAACTATAAAAATTTATAACTTCTGCATGTTCAAAGACATCATTTATAAAGTGAAAAAAATAAGTCACAAATGTCAAGGAAATGCCCATCAAGAAATAAATAGCCAGAATATATAAAGATCTTCTATAGCTCAATAAGAAAAAAGATAACAAAAAAAAATGAATAGGCTATAAAAAAGAGAAAATGTATATTTCTAACCACCATGAAACAAGATTGCCAATCTCAATTTTAAAACTTCTATATGTCAAAGACAGCAAAAAGGACAATGAAAACCCACAACCCTGAGAAAGAATTGGTCATGATCCACAAGTTCATTTCTTGTTGGTGAAATGCTAACTACCCCTGGTATCTTTCATACTGCTTGAAATATCATTTCATAGGACTATACATGGTAAACAAAAATGATATAACATTCCTGTTGCAAATGTAAGCTGCTAGAGTGACTTTAGAAAATCATTTGTTACCATCTAGTAAATTTGAGGATGCATAAACCGCAGGACCCAGCAATACCACTTACAGATTTCTACTTTTGAATCACCAGTGTATACGTGATCAAAGAGCTATGTACAAGAACTCTGAATTATCTGTAATTGTGAATACGGAAAATGTCCCAATATTTCTGAGTAGCAAATAAACTGAATTTTATTCATTCAATAAAATGGATTATAACAGTTAAACTAAGAAAAGTAAAACCAGCAAAGTGTTGGCAAAATTTGAAACTGCTAGTTCTTCACTAAAAAAAAAAAAAACATAAAATGCAAGCCTGTAGTATTTGTCCATTTCTGCTGTGTAAATTCTCCACTATGGCAACTTCAGTTTATCAGGAAGTTATTCAAACTTCCTGAAAACTTAACACATTCTTGGTACTCATTGGTTCTAGCATTCCACTGATTAGTAATACATGTATGCATGCTTAAATGTTAAAAAAAAAAAAAATCCTTAAGAATAAGATGACATGAGATAAACTGTTAACTTCTATTAAATTAGGGTGGAGGTACATTAATGACTATTTTATTGTTTTCTATGATTTTTTGTACATTTGAAATAATTTATATTTTTAGAGGAGTAATTAATAAAGAGGATACTCTATTGCTTTAATAATTTTCTAAATCCTTAATATACTGTATCTTTAAATATCCTTCTCCATACCTGAAATCATGTATATGCATATTGTGTAATAAATACATATATGTGTCTGCATATCCACACTTAAATATCTGAGGACACCAAATCCCAATTAGGATTTTGCTATTTTTTATTCATTGTTTCTATTAACATTTCTCTGCTTACCCACCTAGTTCATGATTTTTGCAGCAAGATACCCTGATTATTCTCTTGGATAATAAGGAAGTGAAAAAGCAGCTTATATTCAAAAACCCTTAAATATAAATCCATAAAATCAGTCTAAACTCCTTCCCTACAAACCACATAAACAAACAAATAAAAGTCATTACAGAAACAAATCTCAGGCTGCATGTTTTTTCCAATTAGCACAGCATTTCCACACAATCTTCCTAATTGGAAGGCCCACCATGACTCCCTGCTCCTCACTTTTGTTAAACAAACTCATCTGGGCTTCCTCTATCTTCTCTTTCCAGGTGTGTTCTCAAACTGTCTCCTTGCTTCCTGCCATATGTATTTCTCAGTTCTTCTGCAAGACTAGCCAATTTCCCCTGCCTGTTTTGCGTTCCAAATTCTCTTGCACGTGTACACACCCACCCAAGTCTTTTCACACTATGCTTTTCAAAATCCCTCTCTTGTGAAGAGATTCTGAGTATCCTTAATGTTTCCTTCTCAATAATCATTATTCCATCTTTTCACCTTAATTGGCATTCCTCTCACAATACTACTATCTCAAAGGAGGGTACATTTTCTAGTACCTTACACCCTCTTTCAGGGAGAGCTACCATTTTCCTGGTTCCTAACATGAAGACAACTCTTCCACTTTCCCACTCAACCACCTCCCAAACTTTGGAATGCCCAGTGTGCCCACATATCATTCCCATCACTGGGAATATTCATAGACCAGACTATCCTCCCTATCCCAGTTCTGTGAATATTCCCATTGATCCTCAAACTCACTTTGGCCTCAGTGATCACCAACAGCCTCCTTTGCCATCTTGCAACACCCAAGTTCTTGTTCTGCGATAGTTTCCTCTGGAATCACAACCGTCTCTGCAATTCAGTCTCTCACTCCTTCAATCCTCTACATTGGCAAAGACCTTATTTTGTGACCCTTTACTTTACAGCAGCCATTTCAAAGAGACAATCTCTAGCCTGAAAGAGTTCCATATTCTTTCAACTTTCTATTGTTTATGCATTGCCAATATTGAATTTGCACTATTTTATCAACTATTCTAAAACTACTGACCTTTGCAGAAATTGGTCATTTGTTCTTATGAAAAATTTCTGTGTTATCCAAAAATGGAGATTAAAAACTTGCAGACATTCCTACTTGATTTCCACAGTGATCTGATCTATGGTATCTAGCTCCTTCCCTTCTGCCTCAAGTTCACATTCCATCAGCTCATATATACTTTTCCCTTTCTACTCCTGCTGACAGGGTCATGGATACGACCTTAAAAACTCTATAAAAGATTATGAAAACTTATTAACTGGCTTTTCTATCTTAAATCTTTTCTACCAGGATACTTCTATAAACGTCTTTTCATCTCTTTGTGTACTGAAATCATTCTGAAGGTAGAGTTTCATGTCTCACTTATACATAGTTTTTCCTCCATGACATCTAATATATATTATCTTTATTTAGTGGGTGGCTCAAGTACTTTGTTAAAATGAATTAAACTCACTGAACATTTTAGAGATAAGAATTGCATAAATTCTCCTTAGGCTTTTATAAGTTATAATAAAATACTTTTTAATCATCAATCTAATTTAATAATAAAGGGAGGTTATAAAACTGTTGAATTTCTAGGACATCAAGAAATCACTACACCAAGATATTTATTTCAGAAGTAATTATACCACAACTCAGAGGCTGAGGAGTATACTTAAGCTCATCCATTCAAGATATCACAAAGTTGATATATTATACGACATTTATATGTGTATTAATATACTAACATAAGTTTATATAGGATATATGTTATACAATTAATGAGTTATAATTAATATATCACAAAGTTAATATATTACATAATGTTTATATGTATGTATTAATATACTAACATAAGCTTATATAGGATGTATATTATATAATTAATGAGTACAGAAGACATGTAATATTTCTCTCTTGAAATAACAAAATTAACAGTCATAATATTCAGGTTTATCTTCAATAATCATTTAATAAGCACTTCTATATACCTTATGTTAGCTATTACTGGTTCTGCCACTTCTCTCTCTCATGAGCGTCTATGATATAGTGATATCCAATTAAAGTTCAGAAAGATTAGAAATGTAATCCACAGCCTGTAAGCAGCAGGACTAAAACTCAAAACTAGGTTTGATGACCTAAAATCCAGCAGATTTTCCTCTAAACTAAACTAAAGCTGTTATGTTCATTTTGGTTACAGTTCCTATCCAACAAACTGATTATTGTTGAGGTTTAATCAAGGCATTGTTCCAATGGGCTAATATAATCTATTATTAGACATTGCTTTCTTTATTCAGCTTCCAATAACTCATTAGAGCTAAAGGTAACAATTTAAAACATGTACATTCTAGAAGTCAAAAATAATTTTTTTAAATCCAAACTTACAGGTCTTTCCCCGACTACACATCATCAACTTATCAGAGCAGGCAGTGCCAGTGGAGGACGATGTAAGAAGTAATGGTAACTTTCTCTTTTATGAAGCAATGTTTGCATATTTCTCTGCCTTTGCTGTGTTTTTCAGTTCTAGGCTTTTTATTCTGCTTTGAGTTTTTATATATGATTTATCCATTGCAAATATATACCTAATTCTGAGAAGTACTGAAAAATGAATCACACATTATATGATCCAAGGGATTGTA